AACTTGTAGGTATGTCCTGCCTTTGGCTTTGGTCAGGTAGATCTTGGAGCAGCCTTCTCCCTCAGCAGCAGGTTCCGTGGAAGAATGGCCTGAACTGCCTTCTGAGCATGCTTCCTCAATGGCAAGAGCCTTGGCCTTAGCCTTTGCCATCTTCTTCTTGTTTGCTGCCTTCTTGGCAGGCACAGGGCTGCAAGCCAGTGCTTCAAAGTCAAGGCCCACATCAGACTCAGCCATGCTCTCTGTGCCAAGAGTGCTGGTGCTTGTCCCTTTGTAGGGTAAGTCTTGCACCAGCCTTGCAAGCTGCTCTAACTGCTCCTTTTCTTTCTCTGTCAGGCTGCTCTGGGCTTGCCTCATCCTCACCTTGCTGTTCTTGACCCTTCTGAGGTGGGCCATCACAACCAGGATCCTGCTTGCCACCCACCCTGCCCATCTGTCCAAGGACATGCCCCTGTCTGACAAAACTGGGAATTGGTTGCTGCATTCTTTCACAGCCTCTTTGAGATCTGTGTAATTGAGCAGGCCACTCTTGCTGACAGCCAGCAAAGACATGATCAATGCCTCCAATGCCAGCAAGCCAGCACCTTTGACAGCATTGTTCAACAGCACCCCCTTGTAGCAGCCAAAGCTGAAAGCTTTGGAGGTGCCTTCTTTCTTGGTGTGCTCTATGAGGTTGTTGACCAGCAAGGCTTTGCTGCAAGTTGGTGTGGGCAACCTCTTCACCGTATGCTTTTTCACATGGTGCTTCTGGCTGACACCCAACTTCCCCATGGCGGGATTGCAGGCAACTACCTATAGGCAGGCTTGATCCTGAAACAAATGATTCCCCCATGCAAGCCAACACATGCCAAAAGCATATGATGTTCTTTCTGAGCACACGGGCTGGAATGCTTTGCTGGGATGCATATCACAGCCTCTCAAACTCATTTCACTACGATCCTGAGCATGGCATATTTCAGCCATTTTGGCCCTGTGCATACTCATCAATTTCAATATTGCCAAAAGTAATTTTTCAAGCGCGGGCTTTGAATATTCTATGAAGTCCGAGATTGAAATCATCACAATTCAGTATCACAATCATGGAAAATTAGCCTTAAACCAAGATTTCAAGCGCACCATGAAAAATGCAGAAAACCAAGCGCAAGAATGGTTTTTTTCAATCTCAGAGGGTTTGGGGTGTGTGTGTGTGTGTGTGTGTGTGTGTGTGTGTGTGTGTGTGTGTGTGTGTGTGTGTGTGTGTGTGTGTGTGTGTGTGTGTGTGTGTGCGTGCGTGCGTGCGTGCGTGCGTGCGTGCGTGCGTGCGTGCGTGCGTGCGTGCGCGTGCGTGCGTGCGTGCGTGCGTGCGTGCGTGCGCGCGTGCGTGTGCGAGTGTGTATGCGTGAGTGCATATGCTCAACATGGCTTTGTCGCACACACACATACATATAGAGCTCAACTTTGGAATTTTCCGTGCAGAATGTGAGGGGCTGCCTCCTAAGAGTTGTGTTCTGAAAGGGGGGCGCGCCTTAGGTTGGGTGCGCACATTTTGTAGTAAACGTTATTGTTTGCATTTTGTAGAGGCTACATGTCTCTTGTTTTCTTTGTGGTCCATGTTGAGGGGTCGTGATTGCGTAGATCAGTTTTAGAAGCCAGGTTTGGCAACTTTGGCATTTCACGAACGCTAGCTTTAGGTAGCTGAAGTTACTCCTTGCGCAAGCAAGGTGAGGGGCTAAAATGCCGAAAGAGTGATATATTTTCTCAACTCTTTGGGCCGAGAAGATTGACCCCCCTGGAATCCCCCCTGGTCCAACCCCCATTTTTGTCTCCCGGCAAGCGTGACTTGGACCCAGAAACACATTTCCAGGGCATCCGGTCTGCATATCCGAATGCTTCCTCAGTTTTCTCAAAAAAGCACCTTGCAGGAAGCCGTGCGCAAGCAACAATTGAGGGGTTCTTTAAGACGGTTTGATACACCTCTCATTAAATTCATTTTTCACAATTTGCCGGGCCACCATGTGAGTTTGCGTGTAGCCTCCTGAGGACTCTTACGGCGCCTCTTATGGTGCGCAAGCTAACTATGGATTCTATTCTGTTTCTGACCCGTCCCATACAACAGTTGCTAGCTTTCGTTGGTTGAAGCAGTTGGCTTCTTTTATGGTGCTTCCGTATATAGACAATCAGCCAGGAATGACGGGGTTGCGGCTCATGGATTTGTTTGGATGTCTTTAGCAACAACATTTCCCCCTATAGAGTGGGTGTCCACTCCATTTGGAACGCTGGTAGGATTGAGAGCCAACTCGCCCACTACAAAATGACACTTGGATCCGGGCGTGGCCGCCATGACATAGATCGCTAGCTTAAGTGCCACTTGGTAACAACGATCCTAAACAAACTCTTTATAGTGTAGAATGGCTGATCCACCCCCACCCCCAAAAGTCACACGGGGATTACACATGTAGACGTATGTAGTATTTTTCATGAATGCTGTTCAATCAACGATGGTCCACAACCATCCATGTCTCTTGGCACCCCCGGAACCCACCCAGCCGGCAAATCCCTTTCCAGGAGGGGCCAGTCACGGTGCCCTGGGCTGCAGCCTTCCGCGACGGGGTGCCCTGCACTGCGCCAAGATGGGCGTCTTGGGATGAAAATCAAGACACCAACGAAGCTGGTCCACCATGTCCACGCGAGCACAGATTGTCCATCCGATTGTCCATCAAAAGGGTCAAGTTTCCTAGCGAAGGCACGCAAAAGCCGAGGCAGCGCAGGATTTCGCCCGTGAACGATATCATTTTAGATTTCAGCTGCGTAGGGATTGTTTTATGACGATTTCGTTCAGTTTTCAAGGTTTGGTCGGATATTTTGGGACAAACTCATCATTGGATGCCTGCCTTACAAAATAATACACTCGTTTGCTTCAGCAGGTGCTGGCACGCCCATTGCACAAGAGTTTGTTTTTGTTCCTGTACTTGTACGGAAGCCAGCTGACACCACTTTTCTCTCATTGTAGACGCAACTGCCGTTTCACAGGCCCTTTAAAACGAGTTTCCTGGGTGACGTCTCTTAGGCATTCGTTGCAGCCCCTCTTCGGGCAAACCCCACCCACCCACACCCACCCACCCACCCACCCACCCACCCACCCACCCACCCACCCACCCACCCACCCACCCACCCACCCACCCACCCACCAATAGGTTGCATATTTTAAAGCTGATGCAGACTTCAAGCTGGGGAATGACCTTGTTGACCGAATCTCGTGGGTTGCTTCATTACTTGACATGTTTTCGGACCTTTTTTCCCATGGCTGGGACCTACGGGATAGCTCGGAGGTGTGGGTCGAGAAGCTGCTGGAACCCTTCGCTTGCCAAGCGGAGTTCGTGGTGCACCTCGCCTCGCTCTGCGCGGCGCCGCGCCTGGCGCCGCGCACCCGCGAACCGGAAAAGACCATCAGCTGCCTCAAGGAGCCATGAGTCAATGAGAGCGAGCCGCCCCGAATGGAAGTGAGAAGATGCAGAGGGCAACTGTTCTGTTTTGTCAAGATGTAGTTTTACAAAGCAACGAATGATCTCGCACTTGGCTCTCGGCCCTTGGCAGGTTTGCCTTTGCTGACTAGCTCCGAATCGTGTCAGTCGGACACAGCCCAGCGAGGCATGCGCAGGTCTCGGGAAGCGAAGCGCAAAGAATCTCAAACAATGGCTGTGTCCATGTAATTCTCCTTCTCAACACCCATACCACCCCCCATTGTCAATTAATTGCTTGGTTGCTAAATGAGGGCACCCCCAAAAAAGGTACACCCTCATCGGGAAAGCTGGACGGAACCTCCAAAGCCTTTATTCAATTCCCAAATGGCACCTATGTCAGAGTTGTTTTGGTGATTCCATCGGGTTTCCCTCAAGGGGTTTGGTTTTGGGGCGCGTGGATTGCTTGCGCTTCATATGCTTGACGAAAGAGCAGCGTGGATTGCTATGGTTGCAGAGGTCGTAGTTTTTGGGCTTGGGGTTCTTGCACTTTAGGGCTTGAGCTTGCTTTGAGCGAGGCATGTAATTAAGCATTGAACACCTTGGGCAGGCACATACATGTCAACGGAATGTTTCAACATGGAACATGAATGGTTGAACCAGTGGGCAACTCTGCAAATCAGATCAGCCTTTCTCATTGAACCGTGCAAGTTGACTCCAATGATCACGAAAGCCGGCAATTTGGGGCTTGAGTGCTTGCGGCTTCGTAACATATGTTTTTCAGCCGGTCGCAGCCGCCGGCAGGCGGCCTACACGGGCAGGTGAGAAATTCACGCCCCCCCCCCCCAATGGCTGGCTTTGCCATGTTCTTTGGCTTTCTTCTGAGATTTTCCCAAGCGCCACGACCTCAGAAGTGAATTGCCGCACATATCCACTGTTGTTCCTCCGGCCGCTTCCAAGATCCAGAAAATGCAAGTTGCAGGAATCAATATGGCACAGATTCGTCTCACTGCGCGGGCCAAATTGGTCGGCCGCGTGCCATGTGGAGAGCAGATGAAAAGAAGCGACAAGCCTACAGTTATTCGGTACGATGCTATCACATGTTGGGAAAGGGCATAAGACTTGTGCAAAGCTTCCTCTGGGATTCTACTCGACAAATGAGCATGTTTCAGGTGGTGTTTGGGGCGGATGAATTGCTCGCAAGATTCATCCTGGTGTTTCCTGAGAAGCGGACGTACTGTTTTGCAAGCGGGCTTTGGCTTAGGATAGCCGAGTTGGGAGGGTTTACCGTTCGGCACAGCTAGAAATTGCAGGAACCACTGTGCTGAGCAGGGAGTGTTCAGAGGGCTATTCATGCGCTGGAAACACACCTATCAGGACAATTCTGTGTTTCCAGTCTCAACCCTTGTTGAAACTTAGCCACGGCCAATGGCGCCGCATTCACAGGTCGAAGTCTAAAAGCATGAATTGACGTGAATAACATGAGGCTAGTGTGAGGGCCATGCCCGTGGTGAATCCTTTGACGAAGTCGTCATAGGGATACGACTCAGCGGAAAGACGCGGCAGGCTGCGACCCAACACCTGGCGCAGCATGTGGACAGAGTGGCTTTGCTGCACTTTCACACCAGACCATGGAGCCCTCGAGGCATTTCCGGATACCCTGCCTGATGGCCTTAGGTTGGCTGAGGTTTGTCCTATTGTTCTTTTTGGGGCTGGCCATTTGATCTCAGTGAGCATGCATAATATGAGTCTGGAGCGCTACGGGTGTTCCAGCTTTTTGGCAATTCCGTCGAAACCTGCAACAATATCTATATCTTCGAATGTGCATCATATATACTTCAACGTATAAATATATTTATGTAGATATAGATATAGAGATGTGTGTGTTTATTTAGATATATACATGCACACCCAGACCTGCCCATGCAGACACGTGCTTGCAAGGCCTCCTCCTGTTGGGGCGTGTCGGGTTTTCAGGGTGGATCTTGAGGATCGCCTGCAGAAGTGGGACTACGACCTGCACTATGACCTCGACCCACGTGGCTGAGGAGCCAGGGCTGTGCTTCCACTTTGGTTGGATTGGAGTTCGTTAGATATGAATTAATTATTGCAGGGCAATATACGGACCCACATGGATGGTTGCGCATAATACTTTAGGTCAGGCCTGGTCGTTTTCCATGTCAGCCTCAATGCCTACAGAACTCCACCTCGCCAGGTGGGTGAGATGCACGCAAAGCTGTAGTAAATGATGGCATGCTTGCCAGGTTTTCCACAAATTGGACCACAAGTGACCGATGTAACACTGGTGAACAGCCAAAGACATGTTTTTCAATCCTTAGTTCAGTTTTTGTCCTTCTCAAGGTCCCGGTCCACGGAGCAGGTGCTCACTTGAGTAGAAATGGTTGACTGGGAGAGGGGGGATTTCGACACCTGCTGCGGTTTGAAACCTAGTAGGATGGATTGGGCAAGCCTGCCCCCCTCCCCCGAAGAAAATCTGACAGTCACACTCTCATGGCATGTAGTTTTGCCATATTTGCGACGACCCAGTTTTTCCAACCAGTTGTTTGTTGACCTGCATCTTTGATTACCTCATTGTGGCTTATGGGTCCCAACAGTAGGCTGGGGGTCAACCAAAATAGGGTCCCCCACAGCGCGTGGTGCTGGGCGCTTCCCAGAGCCACGCAGGTTGCAACCAGTATCACGAATGCACGGCGCTGGGCAGCGGCTCCTGCCACCCCCCCCCCCTTTTTTGGTTGCCATGCTAATTAGAATGGGTTCCCCTTTTGTTGCCATGCCCCCTTTTTGTTGCCACCCCCTCTCCCTATCAGAATGAGTTTCCTTTTGGTGGAGTGGTGTTTAATGGCACAAAGGAGCCCAGGACATGACAGGGGTGCGCAGCGGTCCTGACTAGTTCGACGTGGCAGATTGAAATCTGGCTCAGTTGAGTTGCCAGCGCAAGTCGTGCACGTCCTGCGACAAATTTAAGATTTGGAGTGGACAGTCAATGAATCAGCGAGAGTGCGCGACAAATGACGGCTGACGGGTCTTAGGCGCAAGGCGGTTAAAGCTTGAAGAGAGTGCAACTGTCAGAAACAGGCAAGATAATGCTATGACGCAGCATGTGTCCGGAAATCTGCTTGCCTGGGGGGCCCAGGGGGGGGGGGGCAGCCTTAGCTTGTAAGGAGATGCGTACGCCGCAACGCCTGACAAGGGATACAGCTGGTAATTAGCGAGGCACATGGTGGAGGTGCTTTGTACAAGGGTGAGTTGCGGCCTCGATCCCTGATGAATGTTCCTTTCAGACTGGGCCTGCTCAGGATCCTATCTTGGTTTACGGGTGAGTTGCTGATTGGAAACGGGATTTGCGCACATGTTTCAGTGAGAGTTAGGCCGGTTGCTTTGGCTGGTCGTGGTCCCGGAGCCCAAAGGACCGTTTATGTATTCCGTTGCGGTTCAGAGTTCCATGTTTTCGCCGCTTTGACTGCTCCGTCAACACTATGAAGGCCCTGCCATGCTAGGTGTGCACCTACCGCTCGCCCAAGAAGGGAAAAGGTGGAGAGGCTTTGCCCAATGCTCTGGACCGGGGTGAGTGGGCGAGGGTCATTGGATGTTGGAAGCACGCAAGCTGTATACGTAAGCATGCGACTGGGCAAGTTGTTGTGTGATTAGTCTTATTCATCATTGCATTGACATGAAGCCTGTGTGGAGAGGAATCAGCTTGTGGGAAGAGAATCTGTTGGGCAATGTTGGACCTTGTTTATTGTGGGCCCCCGCGAACTCAAACAATCAAAACAGTGCTCGGGGATCCTGAATACGGATCTGGCAAGGAGCTTAGATGACTTAAGTATTGCTTTGGTATTGCCACTACTTAGTTTAGTATTGCCAGCACTTCCTTTTCGATTGCCACTACTTAAATCAAAGCAGGAATTATTGGACTCAGGTCTCGGCCTGGTTCCTACTAAGCATTTAGATTTGGAGCCCCTTGTAAAAGCAAGAGGCTAAGATCTGACCTGGGGATTCCTATCTCACCCACCTCTAAGATGTTTTCTGGATCTTTTTGGACCAGGATCTTTTTGGGTTCATAAGTCATGGTACCGAAACAGTGGGGGGGGGTCGTGTTTAAGCCGGGGAAACTTGACATAACTCAGACTACCGATATTAAACGGAAGAGTGTTGATGTACTGTGTTGCTTGGGTGTTCTTTATGTAAATCTACACGAGTGTATAGTGCTTTCACGCCCAGCAGCATGGTTGGTGCTTGCAACTGCTGTTTCTCCAATCACCCTGCCAGTTGACGCGTATTTTGGCTTGAACGCTCTCAAAGCAGCCTCCGTGTGAAATGCCGACGCAGGAGCTCAAGGTGTCCAAGACCGTCACCATGCAGTGACTTTCACATAACTAGCTGTCTTGTTTGCTGCTCGTTTTGGGGGTGACTTCGAAGCAAAACCAAAGGGAACTGATTCTTTCAGGAATTGGCTGTCGTCATCGGTGCTTCGCTGGCATTGTCAACCCGCTAGCTCCCCCCAGGAACCAGCAATGGCAACTTAGCAGAATACAACTCCCCATCAACCCACAGCTTGTTGTGTTGTGCGGCTGGCTTATTTTGACCTATCCAAGCCATTTCTGGAATTTCCGTAGGACAGAAGGCGCATGTCATGTCTCTTTGGTCAACACGGGCTATGGCTGCTTCTGTCAGAAACGGACATGTGGTCAGCTTAGGATCCTGAACGAGCGTGGAATCCGACCCCCTCCAGATTGGAAGCGCACAGATCTCTGAGGCTGTCACTGCGTGTTCTGTGCTTGACTGTGTTTGCTTTGCCGCGTTTTGGTTCGACCTTTCACTCTGCACCTCTAAGATGACTAACCAGTTAACAATAGACGTTTGTTTGGGACTGGGTCAAAGACCAACCCAGCCTGTTTGTTTGGTTGCAGTACTTAAATTACATTAGGGATATCACCTTTCCTGTGATGGCAGTGACTGATTTGGCCCAGTTGTGCAAAGTTGTCTCTCCAAGTCGAGCACCAAACAAACATCAGCCGAGCTTTAGACGCTAAGCTTGAGCTGCATATCAGTGCAGTTTCACACTGCGCGTGGTTGACGCAAGCTTTGCTGGCTAAGAGGATAAAGATGCGCCGCTTGGAGCTCTGCAATCGTTTCAGCGAACATGGTCGCTCGCTTCAGGTTGCAAGTCAGCCAGCCACATCCAGCTAACCGCGCAACCCAGAATAATTGCGGTGAAGAATATTGTGCCCTTGCTCCCCTATACTTGCAATATGTCGAGCACTTGCGGCGGATGCTTTCTGCACCAAGTGGTGTGGTCAGCTGCATGTGAGCATTGCAAGCATTGTGCGAAAGAAGTCGTCGGGAAGTGGATGGGCCCCATGAAAAGTCAGCTGGGTACTAAACCCTGGTGAAGCTATGTGTTGCTTCCTTTTGATTCAGGCCAATTTAGGGAACAGAGTGCGCAGTGTGGGCGCGTGAGACGGACGGCGGACTCGAGTGACTAGGTCAAGGCCTTTGGCTTGGAGGTCCGGGACCTGGCTCCAGAGCCCGCGCCCAAGACGAGAAGGAAGCTGCGCAGGGGTCGCTTGGTTCACCCCCGGTTAATGAAACAAACTCGCCACTGCAGCTATCGCAACTTGCGACGCTGCGCCGGCCTTTGTGTCTTCAGCAGCAAGATTTTCCGGGTTGACAAGGGAGGTTTGCTCGAGCTTTGTGCAAGGCACAGGATGTGGTTCTGCTTGGGAGCTGCAAGTATTTTGTAGGTTGCATCTATTGGGATTGAAGTGAGTTGGAAAAGCTGCCCAATAAATGTCTCGCCTAACTGCCAGATGTGACCAACGGTTGCTTTGTTGTTCAATGCCGTTGTTGGCCATGCATGTTTTTTTGGCATCCAACCTGAAGCAATAACTTGTGCGCAGGAACAGTTGCATACCCATGTGGCAACTACAAGCCATAAGCAAGTTTCCCTGAGCATACCGCCTTTTCAGCTTTCATGCGTTTTGTTTTTTTTGTTTGGCAGCCAGTCTACGCCCCTCAGGCTGTTTGGTGTTTCCCGCTTGGGGGCGAAGTTTGGGTTGAATGGTCAGCAACCACATGCATGGGATTCAGATTGGCATGCGATGCGTGCTGTGGACTTGGCTAAGACCAGCCTGATGCTGGCACACACACACAAGGAGTCTAGTCCAACAGTACCATAGCCAAGATGTGTTTGTTGTTTCCAACTCAAGTCTGCAGCATATTGTTGATGTTTGTCTCACTGCCCTTTTGCGTTGCACGCTTTTCACGCGTCCAGAAGGTTCCTAGGATGCAGGGCAGGGCGTATTTCAATCATGGAACGCGACCGCTTCAATCGACTTGACTTAACCTTTGCCAGACCCAGCTGATGCTGTTTGCGCCCTGACGTGGGCAAGCAACCAACGCAAGGCAAAACGAACTAAAGGGTACATGATACGAGCCAAGCCAAACCGAACCAAGCCAAACATGAACAGGTTTTTCCTGTTTGCCCCCTGTTTTGTTCACTGGCCTGCCCCCAATGGCTGCCTTGCAGCCGCTGGGAGTTTGGCAGCCGCTGCCCCAACGACATATCCAACGCTCGGATGGCTTTCGCGCCGGCCACAGCGGCGGGTTTTCGACCCCCATGGCCCGGCAGCTCGGCCGCCGCGAAGCCAATTCTTCCACATCCATGGCTATACGTAGAAACAAGGCCCGGGCGGCTTTCCAGCCGAAGAAAATCCGGCCACTGTGGGACAGGAACGCCAGCACGGGTGCAGTTCCCATCCCTGGTGTTGTGCCATGGTTGCGGAAGCTGGGTTTGAGGCGCACTTTTAGTCATACCAAAGGGTGAGACGAGATGCTCAAACAAGCATTTGAGCAGAAACAAGGGCGCAAATGAAGATACAGGAAGTTGCAGGAACAGTTGACCTCCACAAGGAATGGAAGGTTCACAGGGTATGCTCAGGTACTCCTTCGCCCTTCCGCTGAGCTTGGCTGCTGGCCGTGCAGGTGTCAGACCGCGGGTCACACGGCGCATGTTGCATGGCCAAATCTCCGGGGGAGGCGGTACACCGCATGGCTTCGGGAAGCTGACCGTTTGGGAGGTTCCGGAATCCTGGGACGGTCCCTTGCAGGCAACCAGGACCCCAAAGACCTGCATGATGGTTTGGTCCGTTGCTGGCCAATTGGCTTGCAGCAGGTGTTGTGGGAGGTGCAAGGGGTCGGTTTCAAAGATTCAGGTGGCACATTTGGTGTGTGTGAAGATGCCATGTAGCCTCACTGGTGGTTGCATGCCTGCGCTCCTTGACTGTTCTTTCAGCTAAGGTTTGGATCGCTTGCAGATCTCACGGCATCCTTGGTGGAGGCCAGCTTGGCACAGCACTCCATCCTTTCAGACTCCATCAACCTCAGTCGTTTGCAGCCTGAGACCCTTTCTACCGATTGTTCTTTACTGCCCTTGCTGTCCGCATCCCTTCTTCGCCTTTGTATCAAGTCCTCCCTTGCAGATGAACAGGGAACCCAATAAGAGGACCCCCGCAAGGGAAATGTCTCTACACATAACAGATCCCCCAGTAGTGCCCTTTTCCCCCCTTTCTTGGGGGGAGGGTTCTACTAAAATACGCTACAGAAAAAAATCGGGTACCCTTATTCTAACCTCTCTACTGTCTCTACTGGAGGACCTAGAAATGATAGATCCTTGTTCCCCAAAGGATTTGTCCGACTGAGTTGGGGTCCCTTGCCCAGAGGCCCCAGAGGAGCAGACGCGGCGCCGCCTGGCGCAGCGCTTGCATGAGGTGAACGCCTGGGAGCCGAGCCTGGAGAAGTGCGGCGCCAATGCAGCAAGTGGTTTTTTTTTGGGGGGTTTTGGGTCGTACTGAATGGGATGTCAAAGAAATAATCAGGTATCCCCTTGTCTGGTGGTTTTGATTGGTGGTTTGGATTTGGACCCCTGGATCTTGTAGAAGGTACATGGGGAACCCTTCCTGAACCAGCAAGCCACCAATCCAAACCATCAATTAGAGGGAAGCTGAAATAATTCTAGTAAACACAATGGAAACCATAGTGCGTGGTCATTTGCCAAAAGCCTTGACTTGTTTTATGCGTTGGAAGAACAGCCGGCTTGACATTGGTTCCGAAGGAGGGCTTAAAAGGAACTTGTGGGTCAGGCGACCCTGTGATGTCCCCAACAGACCCACCAACCGTTCCACACGTTGCATTGGACGCAAAAAAAAATGCAAATTCATACATCTACTTGCAGAAGCACATTGCAGAAAGGTTGGAAACATGAAACAGACCATGGATTCCTTGAGGGGAAAGGCTAATTTTAAATTGACAGGGAGCTGCTAGGCAGTCGAGTTGGGCAACGTTGAACTGTTCGATACTTTTGGTTGCTAGGTGTTCGCAAAATTTGAGGCCCCTAGTTCGAACATTTTCGGCCAGTCAACTCAGGCGAGAGAGAAAGAGCAAGAAGTTGCCGTCCGCAGTCCCGCTTCTTTCTTTGAGCAGTTTTTCTTCGGGAGCCACTTGTTTTGGATGTTTGCATCTGTGGAGTGGCTAATATTAGCGGCTATATGTCATTTGGCTTTGACTTTGGGATCCAACTGTGCGTTTGAGCTGACACGATTTCTTGAATAGTGGTTCTATGTGTTTGAGTTTGCGAGGCCCGGTGTTAAGCCTAAGCATTTAGAACCCATCAAAGTAAAGCACTATGTGTGCCTCTTGTACCGTTCGACATGTTGGCTGCTGACTTGGCTGGCAACCCATACACCCGGTTGCCCCGAAAGCTGTGCAAGAAGTGTTTTCGGGAAGTTGGCCACAGTTTGAATAGGCACGGCGAGCCAGTCTCAAGGGCCAATACCATGTCCCCTGAGTTCTACCCCAATGCACTGGAGCCATGTCTCCACCATAATTCGGGTACACAGTATACTCGATTGTTGTGGGGGGCTGTTAGGGATGCACCCTGCGGGCTTCATGACAGCTTGATTGACGGTTACCTAGGCGATGCTGAGCTGGCCTCGCATGCCACTTCACTGGCCGCCAGGGCGAGGAGCGGAGAGGCCAGGCCCCACACCCGGTCAGCTTCCATTGAATTGTTCGGGCAGGTCGGCAGGTGGCTTTTCTTGGCATAAGGATCCATGTGCAATGCTTGGAGTGAACAGGCCCAGTGTTCTGTTTGGACATGTTTGGACCCCTTCCGTGGTGGCAACGTGGCTAGGCCGCAGGCCAAATTCAAGCTCAAATCGTGCCGTACATCATTCAGGAACCGTCCCTTCGTTAAGAAGGTTGCACAAGCTATTGAGATCTCAGCCGAAGGCATTGCGCTCTTGAATATCTACCAAAAAGCATGCGTGTCAAGACAGTTGTTGAGTTCTCTTCTTTTTACGTCTAGCCGATTACAACCACTGCATGAAATGTTTCCAAGCAACTTGCAAGTCTGACTGAACAAACCAAAGCGGGTGCAAAGCACAAGCCCTCAAACACCTGGGCAGGTCAGAGAATGGCTCCAAGAAACCAGGCGCCCTTCCTACATCGCTCGCTTCCCCGCCGAAGCGCCGCATGGTCCCAAGCCGAGCCGTCAAGTCGAGGCGCTGGAGGAGTTGCTGCCGGAGGCCTTTGCTTTGGTACGGGAGGCCTCCAAGCGGAGCTTGGGCCAGCGCCACTACGACGTGCAGATCCTGGGCGCCTCGGAGAAGGGGCCTTCGCAGGGGTTTTCGGACCAATATGCCCTTTGTATATTCTGGCTTTCCACTAGCCCTCGTGTCGTGCGCACTAACCCCTGGATGGTTCGCAGAAGTTCGTGCCACCATTCCCTTCTGCCGCAAAGTTCGTAACCGGCCGCCTTTGCCGCGCAGCCCAGTACCCTCACGCGGTTTCCCCTATCTGAATTGCCTTCAAATCGTGCAACAAAGAATGCTGCTTTTGCAGGCTTAGCGTGACAGGCGAATGTGCCAGGAGTGAAAGTTGTTGCGACAGATCAGCTGGTGCATTGGCTCACTGTGCGAGTAGACAATGTGAAGATTGGAAGAAAATGTCTGAAAGGCCAGTGGCCTGCCCCTTTCCGCAGGCTCAGAGCCTGGCAGAGCTGCCAGAATGTGACATGGGTGGGCGGCTAAAATGCGGGGCTTGCAATTGACTCCTGCTACTAACTCCGGGGTAAAAAAGGGACCGCTGAACAAAAATTATAGGCAAACATGCTGCGTGCTCTCAAGAAAGTGCAGGTGGCATGGTTCTCCACGAGGGCAAGGTGGCAGAAATGGCAACCGGAGAGGGAAAAACGCTGGTGGCTATCCTCCCGGCCTTCCTCAATGCCCTCGCAGGCCGGTTTTGGATCGGGACCATGCCCGGGTGAAAGTAGATAGCGCACTTGCATTTCTGTCGTCAAGCATATAAAGCAGATGACACCAACATGGGGGGGAAATTGTGCCATCAAGTTGCACTCAAATTTCAATCTGTTGTTTCTGGAGAGTGCATGCGTATGTGTGCAGCCAATGAGAGGATGACTGGCGGGCTCTCTCAAACGCCCATTGCTTTTCGGGAACAACTGCACACTCCTGCGGCATTCCCCATCCATGGGCGCCTGGCAGGATCTGGCCCCGTTTATGGCCAGGTGGTGTGCTCTTGCGCAGTGCTCCGCTTGGGATTTGGCAATAGGATGCAAAGCCCTGGAGGCCAAAGAATCAGTACCGAACAAAATTTGTGATTTCCCATCGGAAGTGGTTTGAGTTTGTTTCCGTATCTGTTTTTGGCGTAATTAGTATTGGTTCTAAAAAAGTTGGTTCAGTATGGGCAACATCTAATTTAGTATTGGAGATTTGGGGGTCGGGAAAATCATCATTCAGTGGTAGGGTGTGTTTTGTTTTCTGTAATTAATGGTGAAGAGATGAAGCAGTTTTGACCACGGCACAAGATACCATGTTACCACGAAGGGCGGCCAAAGCCTGGTGACAGCTGATCTTGAGGTGGGGGCGTGCATGTGGTGACCACCAACGACTACCTGGCGCGGCGCGATGCTGATGCTCGGCATGGGACCGCAGCCGGGGTGGAAAGCTTGGTTTTCGGGCTGTGCTGCATGGAATGCAACAGCTGGTCCACCATGGGTACGTTTGCCTTGGTCCTTCCGTACAAAAGGTAAGCCCTCTCAAATCTCAAAAGCAGATAGGGACCAAACTGTCTCAGGACGTTCTAAACCCAAGGGACCCATTGTAGTGACACATGTAGTCATGATGTTGTCTTCAGATTCATCCGGCTAATCACAGGTATGGGATGGCCCGCCTTGGAACTTGCATCAGATGATGCCACGATGGGCCGCCACAAGGGTGTTTAATGCCTGTTCAACTTCCGGATTCGCAGAGGTGCCTTCCAACAACTTGTGGGCCTTGCTATGCGCAGCGCGGTGGTTGCGTGCTGATTGCTTGCACCAAGGCACTCGAACGATCCGCGTGCACAGACTCACCATGCCGAGGCCTGGGCCGGGCGGCCTCTGAGATTCTTGGGCCTCACAGTGGGCGCTCGGAGCTCAGACTTGGCCGCGCCACCCTCGATGATGTGCGTTGGACAGGGCAGAGGGGGTCCAAGCTCCAACTCGACCTTTGAAAGGTTGAGGTAGATTCTGTTCAGTAGGAGAATGCTTAAAGGGGAAATGTAGAGAACCCGTGGTACCTGGGTTGGAGAGTTTTGTGTTGAAGGGCCCCTTCTTGTGCTTCCGCGGCGACATGGGAGGGGAATTGCCCCTGAAAGGGACAGCTTCGGCTGCGCCCAGCCATTGCGTGATGCAATTCTGCAAGCCATCCAAATGGAGTTCTGCCTGTGATATGCATGTGGCATGCGCGTTTGCTTGTGCAATATAAGGCTTGTGGGGTAGGGTCAATACGGGTGTGGCTCAAAATTAAAGAGCCAGGGTTAGGCATGTTTTAGTCTTGGGTTCCATCTACCAAGGTGCCATTTTGGTACCCTTTTCTTGATCCACAGCCATATGGGTCCATGCCAGGTGGAAAGGCGGGAAGGCGGGTCCAAGGTGGTGCAGTCAGAGATGTCCTCCGCGGAGAAGCGGGAGGCCTACGGCTGCGACGTGACCTATGTGACGAACCAGCAGCTGGGCGCCTGGGCGCCTTTAAGGCTGCATCCTCACCCTTGGGCGTGGCACTTGGACAGGTTTTTGGTTCATGATGTTCGTCATGTTGCCCTTTAGGCCGGGGTCTTGAAGCACGGGCTCCAGGCGTGGACCAGCTAAAGTTAGTTTGAAGCTCCTCGATGGTTTTGTTTGGCCTGTTGCCTTTAGGCAGCGGCCTGTTGCCAGAATCTTCACTGACTGGGCTGCTTTGGACTCCCGAAGCGCCCAGGCTTCGACTACTTGCGGGATCAGATGGCCAAGTTGCCTTCTGAACTCAGGAGCGGGTTGCCATTTTCCTGCTCGCACCAAGCCCAAGCATCGGATCCATGCCTTTTGGGAGCATTGGGAGCTTCATTCCACTGAACCAGCAATGCGCAGCTTGACATCCTTTGACGGCATATCGCGCTGGCTTTCTCGAGGCTGCGGGAAACAGAGCCTTTTGGCTGCGCGATTGTCGATGAGGCAGACTCTGCACCTTGGCCATATCACCATGAGTCAATGATGTTATGAGGTCTTGGCAATTGCTGAGTGACTCCTTTCCCATCGCTGGGCTGCCCCTTCCAAACACGAGTTTCGTGTGCATCTCATTGTTTGGTACATGCTGGTCCATGAATCATGTGCATCGGCCTGAATGCTGGTTGGCTTCTGACCAATGTTGTTTGCTCGTACTGAGGTCCTGATTGACGAGGGCCGGACACCACTTGTTGTGTCAGCACAAGCGGAGGTTCCCTCGGAGAAGTACACAACTGCCTTGCAGATTGCCGCTACTCTGGAAAGGGATGTCGACTACACGGTGCTGGAAAAAGCCCCTTTGGCCAAGAGAATCAGTCTGACAGACCTGTCAATAACAGCAACGCAAGGGTTGCAGAATCGAGGGGGGGATTGTTCACTTTATGATCCTCCCCTTACGTGACGATGTAATCCTTTGGAAGGCCTTTCAGTTTTATCACAGGAGCGGGCAATCCCCACACCTTCCTGCTGTTGAAAGATGCCAAGCAGCCATTGACTTTTTGGGTGACCAGGTCAGCAACCATCCAGACTTGGCGCATTCAGGAGAAGACCTGTATACTTACAGAGCGGGGAGAGCTCAAGACCAGCGATCAGTTGAAGAAGGAAGACCTCTTTGATCCCCAGGAGCACGAGACTGGGCAGTCCAAAAAGTCGGGCCATAGTTCACTTTTCCTAGTTGTAGTGTCCGTTGGTCAGCGTGGGCTTGTAAACTCTGCTTTTCTGGTTGCTAGCCTTACTGACTACTGACAGGCTAAAAAGCTTGAAAACAGTGTGCACGTGTCCTCCCCAGCATTAGACAGCCCCGTGTTTCAGAGCAGCATCAGAGGCTCAACTGAAATACCGCTTGCATCCGCTTGCATTCCTTGCCTCGTAAGCAGACTCTATGCAGGACCCATGGGCACCTTTCATCGTGAACTCGCTGCTGCTCGGCCAACATTGGCATTTCGGAGGATGTTGCGGGGATTAGGCTTGGAGGTCTTTGGCAACAGGTGCATGCCGAGAAGGTCTTATGCCCAAGGTTGTGAGTTCGTTTGTTTGGCTTGATATACTGTTTACACAGTAAGTCACTTGGAACCGATTTCTGCAGCAATGGCCGCCAAAGAATGGGCCAAGTAAAGTGCTCTCTGTTGCAACGCGGCAACTGCGTGTGCGCTTCGCAGCATAGAGCGCCGGCGCTCCTTGCAAGCAACTCATGCAACCTTCAAGGCTGCCGAACCAATTGTCAGAACGTCCGCGGCGCTGCGCGAGCAACTCATGCAACCTTCAAGGCTGCCGAACCAATTGTCAGAACGTCCGCGGCGCTGCGCGAGCAACTCATGCAACCTTCAAGGCTGCCGAACCAATTGTCAGAACGTCCGCGGCGCTGCGCGAGCAACTCATGCAACCTTCAAGGCTGCCGAAGCAATTGTCAGAACGTCCGCGGCGCTGCGCGAGCAACTCATGCAACCTTCAAGGCTGCCGAACCAATTGTCAGAACGTCCGCGGCGCTGCGCGAGCAACTCATGCAACCTTCAAGGCTGCCGAACCAATTGTCAGAACGTCCGCGGCGCTGCGCGAGCAACTCATGCAACCTTCAAGGCTGCCGAACCAATTGTCAGAACGTCCGCGGCGCTGCGCGAGCAACTCATGCAACCTTCAAGGCTGCCGAACCAATTGTCAGAACGTCCGCGGCGCTGCGCGAGCAACTCATGCAACCTTCAAGGCTGCCGAACCAATTGTCAGAACGTCCGCGGCGCTGCGCGAGCAACTCATGCAACCTTCAAGGCTGCCGAACCAATTGTCAGAACGTCCGCGGCGCTGCGCGAGCAACTCATGCAACCTTCAAGGCTGCCGAACCAATTGTCAGAACGTCCGCGGCGCTGCGCGAGCAACTCATGCAACCTTCAAGGCGCCGAGTCAGAACGTCCGCGGCGCTGCGCGAGCAACTCATGCAACCTTCAAGGCTGAACCAATTGTCAGAACGTCCGCGGCGCTGCGCGAGCAACTCATGCAACCTTCAAGGCTGCCGAACCAATTGTCAGAACGTCCGCGGCGCTGCGCGAGCAACTCATGCAACCTTCAAGGCTGCCGAACCAAAGAACGTCCGCGGCGTCTGCGCTGCGCGAGCAACTCATGCAACCTTCAAGGCTGCCGAACCAATTGTCAGAACGTCCGCGGCGCTGCGCGAGCAACTCATGCAACCTTCAAGTCAACAGCGTTGTCGAACCAATTGTCAGAACGTCCGCGGCGCTGCGCGAGCAACTCGTGCAACCTTCAAGGCTGCCGAACCAATTGTCAGAACGTCCGCGGCGCTGCGCGAGCAACTCGTGCAACCTTCAAGCCTGCCGAACCAATTGTCAGAACGTCCGCGGCTCTGCGCGAGCAACTCATGCAACCTTCAAGGCTGCCGAACCAATTGTCAGAACGTCCGCGGCGCTGCGCGAGCAACTCGTGCAACCTTCAAGGCTGCCGAACCTTAATTGTCAGAACGTCCGCGGCGCTGCGCGAGCAACTCATGCAGGCGCTGCGCGAGCAACTCATGCAACCTTCAAGGCTGCCGAACCAATTGTCAGAACGTCCGCGGCGCTGCGCGAACCAGACATCACTGTGTTTTTTTTTTTTTGACAACCGCAATCGTCAATGGACTAAGGACTGCCAAGGAACTGTACCTGCGGGAGCGCCCATTGCTCAGAGTGAGATCCCGACGGCATTCTGTGAAGTTGTTTTCTGCATATTGGTCTTGAAGGCCAGCCAACGCGTTTGTTTCTTTGCTCTTGATTCGCGCTCTTTACTACATTCCTTCAACAGTCAGATTGCTTTCCAGGGGGCTCTAGTCAGGTTTCATGTTGGTGAGCGGGAGGGTAGGTACGCACGTGCATGCACTGATGTTCGTTGATTCTGCACTGCACGTCAAACAATGGCAATGTGTTCCATGTGCATTGCGCGCAGAGGTCAGTACATTGTCCGTGATGGCAAGGCACGGGCTTGTGTGCAATGATGGGACGCCGTGCCTTGGCAATCCCCCGCAGTCATGTTATTTTGCAATCACGTGCCAGGGCAGGAATGGAACGAGCTAGTTGCCCTTCTTGCAACTCATGTGGAACCCTCTTCCAGTCCGACTCCATCTTATTCGCTCGCTTTGCTTGAGCCGTCTAAACTTGGACGTCGCAGCCATTGGCTGAGAAACAGAGCTTTGTCACACATCAACGTGTGGTGGCCAGCAGCGGCCTGAATGGTCAGCAGCCAGGGCAAGCAAGCTACCTGTCTAACCGACATTCAACCAACCGACATGAGGAAGTCACACAATGTACATGATATAGCAGCAGCAGAGCTGCGTGGCGCTGCGCAACCCTAAAATGCCAAGCACAAAGCCTGCGATTGCCATTTGCGTCACCCGTGTGAAGACAACGCCCGAGGCTAGGCGCCCTAGGACCCGCTTGTCGCCATGGAGAGAAGGCTTGCGCCATCACGAGTGCTGGAGAAGATTGACCTGGGCTTGGGGAAGGTGCTTGACTTGGTTTGCGCTGGGCGAGCACGCCTGGGAAGAAAAGCGTGAGGTTATAGTATACTGGGGAGACTGGGGAGAATGAAATCATTCTCGCGGGATTGAGGTGCTGCCACTTGTGCACCCAGAGCACTCGGCAAGTGGGCTGATCAATCACAGACAACTTATGCTACTACCTTGTTACCCAACATGTTGAAAGCCCGGCAGACGCTGCCGAGTGCTTTGAAGTACTCGCCCCATGGATGTATGTTGGCACAGGTTTGGCATGGGCTTGACCCCAACTCACGTGTTTGGCTAGTTGGTGGTTGGTCGGTCGGGTGATGGGTGAATTTCGGAAGGTAGGAGGTGGCTTGATGTGTTCAAACAAAGGCCTGGCCGCATGTGCTGAGCCTTCTTGGTCAGTTGTGTCTGACAAATGGGAAAGGCGCATGATTCTGTTGCCTAGCCCTGTCACCGGCTTAGCCGCTGCCGAACAGCCCGAAAAACCAAAGCACACCTGGCATTCTGCTAACAATACAAAAAGCCAACCTCGCGAAAGCTAATCCTCAATTCTCCACTGGCCAAACAGCCACCACAAATCAGGCTATATCAGTCCGAAACTCCCCTTCCCCCCGACCAAGCTCCAAGACTGCAAGAGCCCTGCCAAAAACCAGCTCAATAACCTCGCGCTTCCCCCCTGTCTTCCCCTCACTTGGATGGTCCGGAACTTCGCTAAGTCATTCGTAGCCCTGGTTGCCGCCCACATGGTGGACCCAGAACCATGCTAAGTGGGGAGCCGCCGCTTGGCTAAGTCGGACCATCTAAGGCCCCCCTTTGTGTGTTCTTAGGTGGAGGAGGCGGTGATCCAGCACCAGGCCTCGCGGTTGCAGCGCTGGGCGGACAGCCAGCGGGCGGTGCTGGAGCGGGCTCTGCAGGTGGAGCAGGTGCAGTGGCCAGGGAGTACCAAGGGAATCCCCGTAAAGTGACAAACAAGTATATATTTGAGCCACAATCAAAACCCGGGTAAATGAAGAGTAGTAAGGGACAATCCCAGCCATAAATAGCTGCGGTCGCCTTCTTAATTCCTTACATGATTCTGCGTAGGCCATTTTAATACCGTTTTTTGATTATGACTCATTTTGGCTTAAGGCCCCTTAATAACTTAAGGCCCAGTACGAAGTGTACACGTTTTGAGTAGCCAGACGGATCATGGAAATTTTGTTGGAGGGGGTGCGGGTCTCCCATGCTTTGGTCCCGGCAGAAGATTAGTCTCCAACCAAGGAGCGTCGGGCAATTTTGGATCATTCCTGACAAAGGTGTTGAACATTCCGAGAGGTGGTGGCAAGCTGGACTGAATGGCGATGCTTCTTGGGGGAGCTGAAGGGGCACGCCGGAATCCCCCTTATCATAGCATCGGACGAAGAGCACGGCGCGGGATGTTCCTTTGGGCAGATTTACTACAGCTGTCATTGCATGCAGGGAGAACAATTGAAGATATGAATTTGCACTGGGGGGCGTCATGTTTGATGCCGCGAAGCTTCAGGTGGGGCTGGGCCAGACGCCCCCTCGACCCTGCTTCAAATCAGCTGTTGGAGCACTCAAGGCAATTCCTGGGATGCTGTTATAAGTACAATCTCTGACTATGTCCTCGCTTTGCAGGAAACGCCACTTCAAATGCTTGTAATCCTTAGTGGTCACATTTTGCTCATTCTCTGAGGGGTGTTCCAAACGGCCGCGGAGAGTCTTTACAAGGATGTTGCTGGCTTCTCAGCAGACATGCCTGTTGTGCTGCTTGAAGGCTTTAATGCGGAACTTTGGAATTGAGCGCTTGCATATCTTTCTAGCTGTCTCGGATGCCAGCAAGACCATCAATTCACGCGGAGGGTTCGTTGCTATGATAACATTGCACGCAATCCTCGTTCAGAGCAATCTCTGTTGGCCTCCTTTCAAAGCCAACCAAGGCGGGTGCTAAAAAGGGAACACAGGGAGGGGCCCGCCGTTAAGCAGACTCGAGTCATACAGACATCACCTGTTAGTTGTTTTACTTGAGTTTCCTTTGGGCCTGGTGCTGACCAAAGAAGACACGGGAGCCCGCAGAGACTGCGAGCATACCAGTTCTGTCTAAAAGTGTTTGATTCGACTGGCTCCAGTTTAGCTCAATCAGTTACCAGTCCAATGATTGTTTGTCAAAAAGGATGCCTAGCACTTTCGGATAATTTTGCAGCATCAGACCCTAGAAGAGACACACCTGAAGGCCTTTTGGGCCTCCAACCAGGTTACATGTCAGAGGGTGGGAGGCGGCCCAAAAGAAGGTGTTTGCAAAATACCGCTTGGTCACAAATGCCCTTTGCCAATATTGCTACGCATGTGAACCTTGAATAAAGGGCAAGGGCACCCTTGTCAGATAGGGCAAAGGGGCTTGGAAACTCGCATGGGAAGGGAATCCACGATAAGCTTCTGAGGCACTTTTTCAAGGGCCTTGTCCGAAAATCCAGCTGTGAGATACATGTTGCGGCGATTCTTGCCATCAACTTACGCATCCACATGACGCTTGGCGCATGCTCACATGCGGGCGCGCGCTTCACAATGGACCAGCCTGAGAGAGAGAACCCACACCAGGCTATCATGGCCAAGAACGCTTCGATCACATCGGACGTGATGAAGGGCGTCTCTGAGGATATCGGGGGGCGCAAGAAGGAGCACGCGACGAGTGAGGACGTGGCGATGCAAGCCAAGGAGGACTCACCCGCAGATTTGGATGAGTTTCCCGACCTCTCAACACTTGCGAATTTCTGCCCAGAATGGCATGAGTCAATGAGGAATGAGAATTCCACGGTGGACAGTTGAAGCCTTCGGCTTTGGTAGTTCTTGGGGTCCGACCTTTCTGTTGGCTTGCTTGTTGGCAAGCTTTACGCAGTTCAGTAAAGTACATGGAAAGGAAACAGGCCTGCCCGTGCCAGCCATATGCACAGTGTGCACAGTGACTCTTTCGCACAGTTCGTCTTGCGTTGGTTCTGGGAAGAGAAAAGGTGGGCACTTGCAGGTGGCAAATGGCAACATGAGGGTGTGGGGTTCGCTCTAAAATGCTTAATGGTTGTAAAAGCACTTCTTTTTTTTTCTGGGTATGAGCTTTCCCCCGGGACAAGCATTTCTGGGAACCATAGCCATGGCCCACACAATTGAGTGTTGACCTAATTTTCACCACGGGCCATTTGTTGCTTTTGCTCTGGGCATTCAAGCTGAGCCACCCGCCCGCTTACATGAGGGAGCCATGCTCACGACATCCGCGGAAGGACTGCGACCGGCTCTTCCGGCAGGAACTGCGGCAACTGTCGCAAAGCCGCCGGAGCTGGGCGCAGAAGGTGATCGACGCGTAGCTCAGCATGGAGCCAGAGCTGGCGTCGGATAAATTTGCAGGGAGAGCATCCCTTTGTCCTGTGTGTGCCAGTTGGGCTCCCACCAAAAGCAGCAACCCATATCAAGGCGTTCCTTTTTTCTAGCAGGGCCAATGTTGGACACTTGGCTTCAGGGCACTTTCTCTGAGAGCCGGAAGGAGTAGGAGTAGCACTACCGAATTGCTGCTGTGCTTGAATGCATGGGCTTTAAATTACGGGTGAAGGAAGAGGTAGTATAGTGCTACGGCCGAATGCGGTGGGGTTGGCCAAGGCAAATCGATTGTGGTACTTGCCAGCCAGAAGCTGTTTTCTCCAGCTGTTGCTTTCGAAGTGACATCCTATGATCCAATAACCTAGCAGCAGCACTGGTTCTGTCATTTGAAGGTCTGCAAAGGGGATCACGGTACTGAAACACATTCAGTTCACCTTCTGTAGTGCCATCACGCTGCAGCGGTATGACAGTGTTTCCAGGGAGTCGGATCCTTTAGGACGTGATTTCCCTGTCGTGGTCTAGAGCCTGCTTTCCGCAGCGAGAAGCGTGGACTTGCCAAGGCAAGCTGCCCGGCTCTCAGAAGCCTTCGAAGAGACCATGGCCGGAAAATGGAACAGCTTGGAAGACAGCTTCCAGAGGCGCCGGGATGCGCACGAGAAACATCGAGAAACCAAAGGGGCATGGTCTGGATGCACTTGTGGTGTCCTGGAGTCGCCTAGTTTTGCAGTCTTGTAATGTTCCTGAAATGGGTCTAACCAAAAAAGCGGCATACGAATCATACCCTGGAACAACACCCTCCTGGCAACCCGAGGCTGTTTGCTGTGACAGCAGGTGACTGGCCATTTCTCCCTTCAAAGCCTTCATGGGCTTGTTGTCCTGGACAGCGTGTTGTCCTGCTGATGAACAATCTGGATCTCCGTTTCCGGCAATGGCTAGGGAAGGCATGCAAAAAAGCATTCTCAAACTACTGCGCCTGGAGCATCAGATGGGTCAGAAACCTGAGTTTCCTTTTCAGGGTGCTTGTTTTCAGGTTCTTCTACGCGGAAGGGGTTCAGGACCAAGCTTTGTGGCATCCTTCAAACGGCCATTGGCAAGCATTTCCTTCC